GAACCGCTGGCTTAGGCCATCTTATTTTCTTGGTTCCCAAACAAGGCTGAGGAAAGAAAAAAAAGAGGTGCTCCTTGAAATGCAGGCAGAGCCCAGTGGCTCCAGATGTTGCCAATGAGGCAAGATGTTCATTCTCAGCCTGTATGGAGTTTTAGTTCATAAGCCACTTTGAAATGGCAATTTTCATAGAGACTGAACTATATAAAAAACCACCATGTTTCAAGAACAGCATGCACACTTTCCCTCAGAGGTAAGTAACATATGATTTCACTCATATGTGGAATCTAATGAACAAATAAACTAACAAGCAAAATAGAGACAGACTCATAGATAGAGAGAGCAGACTGACAGCTGTGTGTGTGTGGGGGGGGGGGCGAGGCGGGGGAGAAGGAGGGAAGAGATTGAAAAAAAAAAGAGAGAGAGAGTGTTTGTTGGTTTGTCACCTGGATTCTACCTGACTAGACTTTATCTTTGAAGGTCAGAATCTAATCTTATCTTTCATCTCAGCTTGGGTTAGAACCTGGCTGGCCTCCCATTTTTTGTAAATAAAGGTTTTATTGGCACACCGCCATGCCCAGTCATTTATCTAATGTCTATCTTTTCTACAACAACCAGTCGGGCAGTTGGACAGAGACACAATGTCCTGAAAAGCCCCAAACAGGCACTTCCTGGCTCTTTACAAGAAGCTTGCATTCTCCCACTTGAAAAGAAACTGACGCACATAGGTATTCTCCAGCTGGCTGTTTAATAAATACTGGTTATAGCGAAGCCTTTCATTTCTTTTCTTTGTTAAAAAGTGGTGGGAAACCTCTGCCCTGTCAGGTGAGATCAAGCCCTAAACATTTTGAAATCCTGATGCAGAAGTTGGAGTAACAACTATTTAAAAGTTTGGAGCCTTTAAAAAAATTTTTTTTCTCCCCACGGTGGAGTCTTAAATTTATCTTTGGGGAAGCTCCCTTAAAGGTAAGTCCGTTACCCAATCAGTGCTCTTGTGGAAACTGGAAAGTCACTGACAAACATCACAAAAGTTTTTATCGAAGTCGTCAGTACGAGGGTCCAGGTCTCAGGGTCCTGAGGTGGCGGGAAAGGGAAAGGCTTGGTGTAAACGTGGGATGCACAGAGCTGCAAACCAGTGCTGCTTCTTGAGGAGCCAGCATCTGTAGGAAATCCAGAGTAAGATGCCACAGGAGGGGGTAGGAAGGAGCATCTTGCTCTGGAGGGGGACTGTGCACAGGAACCACGTGGACGTGGTATAGCCCAAACTGGACAAACTCCAAGTCTGCCAAGTTGGGTGGGTATGCCACAACACAGCTGGTACTAAAGGTCTTCATTCTAGTGTGAGTCTCCTGATGAGGCCCACGCAACAAAGCCAGCCCCTTGAGGCTGTGGTAGGGGTTTTCCCTGAAGTGGATATTCCATAATAGCAATTGAGGTTGCTCCTGGCCAACACAAAAGGGCCTCTGTGATGATGAAACTTTTCACTCTTAGAATCTAGTGTTGGGTGATGCGCCTGGGGCGCAGCAATGCCTAGAACATCTTCGTGTATAAGAATAAGCTGGTCGCACACTCATGGAGGCGGATCGTCAGCTAAGCAGAGGGGCAGCCCTCTTAGGGGACCCCGAGGCTCTCGGAAGAGCCCCTTCAGGGAGCAGCTCTATGCCACTGTTGATATTTCACCTCCTTTTATCCTTCAACCTTTCAGAAAACTTTGTCCCAAATAGCAGCCTAGTCTTGCTGTGCTATGAAGAATTAAATTCTCATTCTCGTCTTGGGATGAGAAGCAGAGGGGAGCTCCTAAGTGTCAGAGGAGTGGCAGCAGCCACAGGAGACCCCACAGGTGGCAGCTGTGCCCAGGGGAGCACTTCTGAGGCGCATCCTGGAAAGATGCTCTGGGAACCTCTGGGAGTGGGAGCCGAGGGGCTGTTCCTTTCCTGTGCTGCTCATAGGAAGTAAAAATCATCATAATTTGGGCATGAAAGAAAATGTGACCCGAATTTACACTCACTGGCTGGTGAGACTGGAGCAGGATTTTCTGGGGATACAGTTCTCAGGCATGTTCATAAGCCATTTCCCCTGCTGGTTCCCTCGTGGTTTGATGTAAATAGAGCTTTCAAACCTAAATGTTAACAGGGCCCACGGTGTGCATGGCACCAGTGTTCCTCAGATATAAATTATGGGTAAAATTTTGTGAGTGCCTACATTGTCTGTCTGTAAAAAGGCCTTGACATTATGTCTACTGTCCCTTCTCGCTCTCTCCCTTTTTAAGGCAAATTCCAGACATGGTCATTTCAAACCTACACAATCCCATATACATTTAAAATGGACATTTTCTTACATAACGAATACCATGATCACCACAGACTTATCAACCATTTCTTGGCGCCATCTAACAGCCATTCTGTATTCAAATGTTCCTGATTAACATGATATCGGATCCTCACCATCACAGGAAGAGGGATTCTCCTAATTTTTTTTTAAAGCTATAAAGTACTTTTATGTTAGCAGAGGCTTTAACAGCAGAGGGTTTTTTCCACTTGTTACTTTGATGAGAGCATTTCCTTTATGCAGGAGCACAGGTTCTTAGTCTTGGGCCTCAATTTTTGCTGTGTCTCTATCTTCAGTTAATGCATCCCCGGGGCTCATTCAACTCACCCAGCTTCCAACATACATCCTCTGCTGGCCTACTGGATGTATAAAATAAGCTATTGATCTGTGGATTTATAAAGGCTTCTGAGATGTGAAAGCAGCTCCTCCTGTGTATTTCCTAACTTCTGCTTTACCCTCCTGACTGCACTAGTATTATTACTTTTTTCTTTTAGTCTGACAACTTAAAAACGTGCATGTGGAATTACTGTTCCCATCCTGCTCTGCTCATGTCCCTTGAATCTTTGACCATTTTATTGATCTATGTCAAAGGTATGGGTAGTGGGTCTGCTCTCTGAGTCCTGTTTAACTGCTGGGAGTTTAGTGAAGGAAAAATGGAGTCCTGTGCTATAGCTCCAAAAAACAGCTGGGTTATGTGAGTGGAATGCTGAAGGTTGTAAATTATTTCCTAGATTATATGCAAGGCTAAGTAGCACCGAAAACAGCCAGACTGCAAAAATCTTACTACTTACTGACTGCCAAGAGCAGTACATGTTTTCAAACATTATACAACTAGTATATTTATACATGTATTATCTTCTAAAGCCTGGTTCACTGCATGAGTTTTGGATTTGCTGACTAATTTGGATCAACTTCCATACCTTCCTCCATAGACACAAATTTTAAATAGCATCGATCACCAAGTGGTTTCTGAACTTTGTGAAACTGCATGCACAATACAGTATGTAAGTACAATGGTGAACATTTTTCGTGGGAGCGAGTCCAAAACTTTCATCATGGTTTCAAAGGAGCCTAAGAAAACACTAAGAGCCTTTGATATGGAAAAAAATTCTAAAGGGTTGTCACAACAGCAATGCTCACAGGGCCAGAGATTAACATAAATGAGTGAAGTGGATGAGGTATTAGGCAATAGGGAATGGTGGAAACTGGTAGCCTCAAATACATTCACTCCAACTACATAGAGTAGCTAGCTATCTTTAAGCTGCAGATCACTGTTGGTAGGTGGGAACACAGGTTCAAGTGTTTCCTGGTCTTACTTTTTCTTGCCCCCAAGGAAGCCAGAAATCTGGATGCTTACATGAAATCTTCCAAATTTTAAATGCTGATAATAATTTCAAGTTAAATAAACAAACATTGTATGGTACCGACAACTGGTCTGCTGACTTGGTCCTCAGGCTGCAGGGCCTAACCGAAGCCAGGCATTTAAAAACATAATTAAATTCATAAATAAAAATAACTAAACGCTCTCTTCAGATCTGTAATAAGCCAACAACACCAAGACCATTTAGGAACAAGGCTCCCAAGGGATTCTAGTCTGGTGGTTTGGCATTTGAAAAGTTCAATGGCCAAATCTATAGCAATGCAACTGCTGAATGCAGCGGATCCTGACATCTACCCTTCCTTCCCCAGCCAATGTCCAGTACTCTACATAGGTCAATCCCAGGCCTCTTTAGTGGCAGTGGGAAAAATGTTCCAGAAGAAGACATGTCAAGAATCCTAATATAGACCATCTAACCACTACAGTACACTTGAAACTAATACAAAATAATATGGAATGTAAACTGTAATAGAAAAACAAGAATCCTAATTACATAGTTATATAAAACCTTGGTTGTCCAGCTGACAGCACTAATAGATTGTCATGCCACATTTTGCTTATTGCCAGAATTAAGGTAAGTACAAGAAACTATGAAATGCACAGAGAAGTTTACCAGAACCAGACAAATAATATCTTTTGTAAACCAAATTAATTTCCATCTATAAGGGATCTTGCTCTTTAAACGGAATCTGCAATATAATGATCAGTAAGGGAAAAATAATTTCCAAATTTAACTGCGTCGCAAGTTTAGATTTAAAAATACTAGGCTTTTAAAATATGGTGCAAACCTAAAATTGAACCTGTCCCACAGGATGTGGCTGCTGGCACCCTGGGACCATTTGCAGGGCAGGTATGTAGCAAGCTCTGAGTTCTGTGGAGAATTGCAAATGGGTAAGGAGAAGGGGGAGAGGACCCTGAAGGCAGCTGCTGAGAGGATCGAGGGCAGGACGGCTGCAGAGGGGAAACAAATGAGTGAACTATGGAAAACGTGATCAAAACTGACAACCACATTTCGCCTGAGAACACTGGCTGACATTCCAGTGAGAAAACTTGCCTTTTTTTTTTTTTTTAAACTTTTGTGCCTTGGATAGAGTTTTATTTATAATGTTTGAAAATGGTCATATGAATATTTGAGCTCTGGTAGACAGTACCACAAAGCAATGCCACTTTGTGAATAATGTTATATTTCCACTCAAGCAATTATACACTTTCCAAGTAAGGTATGTGAGAGAGTGTGTACGTTACATCAAATACATTTTGGTTTTTCCCATAATTAGAAAAGAACAATTTAAGGTACCTGTGATCATGCTGGATACAATTAGTGGCAAAATGATGAGTTTCAGCATCCTCATTAGGATTTCTCCAGGAAAGGCAAAGTAGAACTTCTCCAGATTAGAGAGTTTGCTGTATTCTCGAACCAAGACTCCTATGCCAATCCCTAAAAAAAAAAAAAATAAAAAGGGGAAGGGAAAAAAAAAAAGAACATTGTTGAGTTCTCCTGTATAAATTTCTATGGAAAAATACTCCCCCCAAATGCAAATTTTAATGGCAAGTTTAGATAATCTCCCAGGAGTCTGTAAATTTTAGACTTAAAAACCAAATCACATTTTAATGAATGGGAAGTACACATTATTTAGTAAACCTGTAAAAAACATTCTTCACGTTAAAAATTGTTTTTAATTTTTCTTCTTCAATCATGTTTATTATAATGACAAAACATCACAAAATACTGTGAGAAAGAAAATAATCATCTTGGTCGACCCAATACAGTATAACTTTTGTTTTTACACACCAACCTTATACTTTGTCTAGCTTAGATAGCTTACATATTTTATAGTTTACATAACCATTTTCATTTTCTATTTTATCATAATTACTTTTTATAACTTTTATAAAAAACTCTTCTGTTTATGCAACTTTTATAATTTTAATAGCAACATAAGATTCTGTTAGTTTGATATATTTACCATATTGTTGAACAATTATGTTCTCTAATGCTTTGTATTCTTTTCAGGTCTTTTTAGATAATGATGTGTTCAAGTTTGTTTGGTCAAGAGCTTTTTACAAAGTTTCTAATCCTGGACATTTAGGCTTATTATGTGAGTAGGGGAATGTTTATTATCAAGACATGTTATACATTCTCTGAAAGCTTGCCTTATCTACATGAAATCCTTCTGTTGTGATGACTTGGATAACTAAAAATCACAAATTTTAAACATGTCTCCTTTATCCTCTTCCAAATGGTTCCAATAATATTTAACTGCCCTACGCCATCCCATTCCCCACAAACCCTTCAGAATCCCCCCCTTTTTAAAACCAAGAAATAAAATGGGCTGGGATGACTAGTGCATCAACTTCTGAGGATGACAGGCTAATTGGAGGTAAGATGACTAAGGAGCAAGAAGATTCCAGAAGGATATCACTGGATATGCTAATTTACAAATGTGAAAATTTAGAGTTGTTTGGGCATAGTTAAGAACTCCAGGGCAATGAAAAGAGATGTGAATTATAATCAGTATTAGAGTTTTCATTTAAATTCAGGTATACTTCCCATACCTATTAGTAAACCAAGTAGATGCACCTCACAAGATGCATTTGTGTAGTAATATTATTCTTACTAGTAGCTTAATTTTATATTCCCACATATTTTACTTTTGCTTTCATCTCTTTATTTTGTGTATGCATTACTGATTTCTGATCAGCCACTTTAATGGTCTGGCCCTCTAGCAACTTCAGCACGAAATTATAGCTAATTTGCCTACAAACGTCAGGTGGTCATAATAATCTGGCCACTCAGTGTATATGTAAACATTTCCCAAAATGTAGCTAAGACAGAAAAAAAAAGGCTTTATTATCAAACCCATTTGGTTTGTATTTCAAAACCTAGTGTTAGAGACTCCTGAGTAATTAAGGTACACCAAGGGTTCAAAATATTTTAAGTGAATTTAAAAAGCTTTTTGTGCTCACTTCCTACTTAATAAATTGCTTACGTTCAGCTGTTCTATATGGAACACACCTACATTATGCTGTAAGGATACTCTATAATGCTCAGTGTTTTAAAAAAAGAAACCAACCAAACAGACATTTTTTTCTCATACTATTTAGGTTGCTTCAAGTAAATTTCTGGCTTGTATGTCAAAGAGAGCTCTGTATGTAAAAATAAAGGAGATGTGTCTGTGCTCAAAAACCAGTCACAAAAGCACTCTGTTGAGTAGCAAAGAACCCAAAGTGCTCCGATCTTACTAACAATTAACTGTGCTTCTAATCATCTCCACCCCAAATGAATGCAGGGCAGTTAGAAAGAAACGTGCTTGCTTTTCCAGCCTTTAGCCAGATATGGGTTTTCATGGCAGAGATAAAAGAGTCTGCACAAGGAGTCATTTGAAAGCAATCAAAGGTGACAAACACTATAAATAGGTCACTGTGTTTAGTAATGAAAGCTTTCTCTCAAGCTTGTGCTTGACTTATCACAAATTGTATTCCAGTATTTCTCTTCTTTCTTTCTTTTTTTTTTTTTTTTACTGAAAAAAATATAAAAACCAACCGAGACCTGGAGAAGCAGGGGGCAATTCACCCTGAGCCATAAATGTCATCCCTGGGGTCCTCAAGTGTAAGAAGTGGTTGGTGAATGACCAGGAGTTACACCTGGGAAATGGATGTGCTTTATTTTGGTCTCAAACAAGTTTGGAAAAATTAGATGTGAAATAAGAAAAATCACTGAAAGATTTTCTAGGTTCTAAGATGAGAGGTCAGGATTTTCACAGGGCACAATCTTTCCCTACCCTTTTGCAGAGACAGAACCTTGGACTGGATTAAGGAGCATGGAGAGGTCTCCAAATCTAAAGGATGCTGGGAATAAGTGTCTGTCTGGGGGTGCACAGGTCAGATTCACTCCCAGACCTAGAAAAGAAGATCAAGATCAAGTATTGCTCTAGGAAGGCCTTCAGCAGGGCCTACAAGGCAGCCCAAAGGTAAAGTTGGTACCTAGACCTCTACAGCCCCCGAAAATACCAGGAATTGATTTCTGGGCTGCCTTCCTCCAACACAGGCAAGAAAATCCCAAGCAGGTACTGAGGCAGCTTGTAAAGAACATGGTTTTAGGACAGGCTTGAATTCTGCCTCCACCACTTACAAGGTGTTAACCTTCCCCAGTTGTCAAGTGGTCAAATTAGAGGTAGGGGCAAAAGGGTTGGATTAGATGCCTTCAAAGGCCCCTCTTAATGCCTAAAATGCCGTGATCATCTCAGCCTTGGTGTCCTCAACTTTAAAATGCGATCATAGGAGCAGCTCGTTAGCTCCAAGGGAGCTGGCCGTGTTTTCTTCAGTTTTTACACCAAATGTTACGTATACTGGTAAAACAGGAAAGGGAGAAACTAGGGAGGAAAGCAATTAAGACCTGAGCTAGAGATTTCTTCTTTAAGCTCATGTTCAAAAATTTAAGCTTAAAAGAGAAGATGCTATCTCTTCATGTCCATGTTGTCTCAAACAACTGTTACTCCAATAGCCTTATCTTGGAAGTAATGTGTGACTGCCCCCCCCCCCCCACCCCCTCCCCGCCCAAATTGTTAAAAAAAAAAAAAAGCGCCGAAGCCGGTTTGGCTCAGTGGATGGAGCATCGGCCTGCGGACTGGAGGGTCCCAGGTTCGATTCCGGTCAAGGGCATGTGCCTTGGTTGAGGGCACATCCACAGTGGGGGGTGTGCGGGAGGCAGCTGATCGATGTTTCTCTCTCATCGATGTTTCTGACTCTCTGTCTCTCTCCCTTCCTCTCTGTAAAAAGTCAATAAAATATTTTAAAAAAAAGCTAAAAAAATTATTGTTCAAGAAATAATTCTGGCAATCAAAATAAAGAACAAGTAATGATTTCATGAACCTATCCACTCCTTAACCACCCCCTCATGCCACTTTCCAGGCCCTACCTACCCAGCCTTCATTCTTATATATGTTTTTTTAATAGTTATAACAATTTAATCCAGGAATAGTAGTTGAAATGCATTTGATTCATATTCATGAAAATAGCATTGCTCCTATTTTAGAGTATTTGCAGTAAAGAGATTAAAACCTTCTGTGATTTTTAATCAAAGTCCCAGAATAGTATTGTGATCCACAGATTGATTTTGGCTTGGTTAAACAAGAATTATTGGCAAAGGAAAAAATATTTTTAACCATCACTGAAATAGTTACCTAGCCATGCCATTATTCTAGACATTATATTAAGCAAATACAATGTGCTTTTTTTGTCTAAAGTTAATGCTGATAACCAGAAGATAAAAAGTACAGAATGAATAGAGTTATCAACAAATAACTACTTGTATACCCTGAATAGACTGAGGGGGGGGGTAGGGGGGAGAAGAAAGGGGGAGCTGGTCTCTCTATCCTGTCCTTCCAATGAAATATCTGTCTCTTTTCTCATCTTTTTCTTTAGAGCTAAGTAGTTCTACCAATGCAAGCTCTTACATGAACTCTGGCTCAAAAATAGATGCCTCTGAGTCAGTACAGCTTTTTTTTTTTTTTTTTTACTGCACAAGAAATATTATCACAGCTCTACTGGAAATAATAAGTGCAAAAATTCACCCACAACTTTATCAACTTAAATATGTGAAAAGTGAAATTGTTTCCATGCTCCATATACTATTGCAGTTAATCATAATAAAATGGTTAATAATTATTGAGTATATACTATATGTCAGAATCTGTGCTAAGTACTTCAAATAAATGTTTTCTTGTATACCAGTACTGTTATTTTTTTGTTTTACCAACAGCTTTTTTTAAATTTTCCAAAAAAATTTTTTATAATTCTTTATTGTTTAAAATATTACATATATCTCCCTTTTTTCCCCATTGACCTCTCCCCAGCCACTCCCCCCACCCCCAGCACATGCCCTCACCCTGCCTAGTGTCTGTGTGCACTGGTTATGCTTATATGCATGCATACAAGTCCTTTGGTTGATCTCTTACCCCTCCGCCCCCACCCTCCCCTGCCTTCCCTCTGAGGGTTGATGGTCTGATCAATGCTTCCTCTGTCCCTGAAATCTATTTTTGTTTCATCAGTTTATATTGTTGATTATATTCCCCCAAATGAGTTGAGATCATGTGATATTTATCTTTCCTCCAACTGGCTTATTTTCATATACCATAATGTCCCCCATGTCCCAGCCCTTGGGGTTGGCAATGGTTAAAATTTTTTTCTTTTTTACAG